TCTAATAAATATACATATAAATATAGAAGAAGAGATCCCTACTCAATAAACATTATAAACTTAATTTTTGTTAATGTAATAATTTAAGATAATAAATCATTTTAAATTACAAGAAAATAAATGACAAATATTAACACTAAATTTTTAATTATAGATACACTGTCTATAACGAGGTTTAAATTAATTAAGACTTGGTCAATTCTTGTGAATAATTATGGCATAGGCCATATAAAATTGAGAAGAGAAAAGATGAAAACAAAAGAAGGAAATTAATTTAGTGGATAAATAAAAGGCAAGAGAAAGGCATTAGACAACAACAACTTTCTTTCTCTCGTCAAACAGGAATTGCTTTTTACAATGGCTAGGTTCAGTTCACCATGCAAGTTAAAAACAAGGACTACAATCAAAGACTTTTTAAACATAGAATTAACCTATAAATGAGTAATTAAAATCCCTCTCTCCCGCTAACATGTCCACAAAAAACAGTTCACGTGAACCGCCATGAAAAGCTACCAACCGCATAATGATCTCAACCTTCAGATTCTTCATCAATTGTGATTGATCCACTGCTTATGGCCTGGAACCCATTTTGGACATTTGGGACTAAAGTATTTTTCCACCACCCTGGAGTTCAGGAGCTCCACCACTGGTGCAAACTTCACACATCTTGGAGTCTTGTACTGATTTATTGAAGCCCCAAGGCTTATGGCATAGTCCATGAGCTTGTCAAAAGTCCCTTGTTCCACAATCTTGATCTCAAGGGGCCCAATTGATTTGTCTGAGACACGCCCTTGGCGATACACACTGTTCAGTGATTCCTCTATGGTCAAGCAACAGTCCTCAAACACACATGGTGGAATTGGAGTTGAACCTTTCAGGGAGAGCTCCCAGTACAAGACATAGTGGCCAGGGATTGTTGTGGTGTCTGCATAGCTTGTGTACTCGGACACTGATGCATCAAAGGGCACCAAGTGTGTCACAGCATTCTTCATTGCGTTCTGAAGCTCCACCTCATCGGTCTTGTCCGAGTCTATGCTCAACACCACGTTCTTTCTACACACAAAGTTGAATTGGGGAGCCTTGTTCTTGAATCCAGCCACCCTCAGCACATCACCAACCCTGTAACGATACAAACCTGAGAACAAAAAATTTGTCAACTGTCAATTAACAAACTCATGCGTCCAAATTTATATTATGTTATGATAAAAAACAAGATTGTAACAAATAATCGGGAAGTTAGATATAAAATCAAGGTTTTGGGTATTAATTGTGAGCGCACCAGTTACATTTGTCGGATGATCACCATAAATTACAACTACAATTTTAAACTTTAGATAATGTTGACAAATTTACTTGATGATGAAACGATGACTAAAATTTAGAACCGTGATGTTAAGATAAAAGTAACAATAAACTAAAAGGTGTTAGTTTATTCTTACCAGCATAAGTTGTGACAACGAGTTCATACTCTTGGCCAAGTTTGACATCAACAAGCTCAACCAGCTCCTGTTTTTCTTTCTCATTGAGGGACCTGGGGGTGTGGTCATTCACCCCATTGCTTCGGTTAACGGGCAAGAACTCGAAGTAACACATGGTGGGAATGAGGGTGTAAGAGACTTCACTGGGTTTGCATAGAGGGTTGAGGTTGACACCAAAGTAGCACTCACTGGATGCGTACATGGTGCACACAAGTGGGAGTCCATTGCTGTAGTAGTCCAATGTGGGGATGTACTGTGACATTGTCCCAGTCACGATAACATCCACATACTTAGTGTTCGGCCACAGCCTAGTGATTATGCCCTGCCATGAGCTCTTACTACACTCCGTTTGGATAAGATCTGCTAGCTTAGGGTCAGGTTTGAGGATCTTCATGACAGCCTCACGCACGGAGGTGTCAGTGATCTGGGGGTTAATGGTTCCAGTTCTGACGTCGTTACAAAGGAGGGACCAGTTTTTCTCAAGGAACCGAATGGCCCTTATGAAGCCAGAGGCAAAAACTGCCCCTACGCGGAAAACTTCTTTGTTTTGGCAAAGGCCACAAAGGAGTTGGGAGTACATGCTTTGGTAGGAGTCAGGGCAGAGGACTGTCTCATTTGGGCTGGTATAGTTGGTGTAGGGGTCATAGGGTCTGTCTTGGAAATAGGAACTTTTGTAGTAACTAGTCAAAACTGGACGAGCCACAATCCCTCCAGGTGTTGTTGCCTCAGATTTTATGAACATTAGGTACATTCCTTTGCCCTTTTCCAAACCAGGAACAAACATGCTGATCACTGGCATCTGCAGGCTATACAGCAAACTCCTCCTCCCTTGGTCCTCCTCAATTGTTGGCATCAGCTTCCTCTCACCTCCTGATGTCCCAGAACTGCCAAAACAAAAAATGAACACACAATAAGAAAACCAATACAAACAACCCCATGAATATTTTCACATGCCCACGTGCCCAAAAAAATAGAAAAGAACATGAAAAACAAAACCCATATTAAAAAAAAAAAATTATCTTTTATCTTCTCTCGTTTCCTCTTGATTTAAGTTAATTATAACTAAGTCATCCCATTAGGACAGTTCTTAAGTTCAAGCATTATTATATACAAAAGAAAAAGTTAAAACTAGCCCAATCTACTAGAATCGGCTTTGTTGGTGGTTGTGGTGGTGTATGCGAAGAGATAGTTGGAAGTAAAAAGAGAAGAAAAATTGAGCGTGGGGATATATATGTGTGCAGCATACCTAGTGAGGAATTCTGAGATGGGTTTGGAGCAAAGGATTGGAGAAGTGTCACCATTGGCGATGCGGTTGATGTCAGGTTGGATATCCTCGTAGGTAATGACAGGTAAGTGTTTCTTGAAGGTTTCACGGTCTGTCTGGCCATGGAGACAGTGTCTCTTCAGGTACTCAACGTTAGCATTGTTGGATAGGATTTCGGAGAGGACCCTCTTCTGAACCTGGTCAACGTTGGCAGTGACATCCTCAATAAACTCGAGAATTTTCTCGTTTTGCTCAACAAGGTTATAGTCTCTTGGTGCTTCAGGCATGGTGATGGTGTGGTGGTGCTAGCAACTAGCTGCAACACAAGAACCTTGTTGGTATGCGTGAGTGTGTGTTTTGGAAAGGAGAAGTACACACAAAAGTTTTGTGTGTAAGAGAGAGAAGAAGAATGACTAAAAGTAATAGAAACTGGTTAGGAAGAAGCTAGGAGATGATGTTGGGCGTGAGTTGAAAAGATGAGAGAAAGGGTTTATATAGAGGCACATGTCAAGCGGGGTGTGCTTGATGGGAAGGAGTAAGAAGTAAATAGATGTAAAAATGGAGGATAAAACGGGGAATATATATATGTAGAAATAGCATCACCGCATTTTATATAGAGGCACATGTCAGCTGGGTTTGGTTTCTTATTTGACCATCAGAGAAAAAAATTTAAGGACCCTCCATCCTTTTAGTGTGTTGAGTTGAGACTTCATGCACAACATTATTGGGAAGGTGATCAAAGTCCTTGTCAATAATATGTACCCATTTGAATAAATCTGTTTGCTAATAATTTTGTACTTTAAAATTCGTTATATTTTCCCTCTTATTCTATGCTTTTACTCTCTCTTTTTTTTCTGTCTCATGCAATTATGCTTTCGCTTTCGTGTATTGTTTTCCTAGCAACAGATAACGGCATCGTTTACTTCATTCTTGGCCTGTGATTGTCGAGTTTGACAGAGGTCTTCACTATCCACTCCCTGTTAAACTGTCTTGTCCGTCAAATGTCACCCAATAAGGATTGTGTTCATGAATGTGTATGCAAGTTAATCCATATGCTACTAGAAGAATCCAGACATATATTGATCAATATTGGAAGCAGGAACAGCCTTCTGTGAGTCATATTTCTCACTAAAAGAAAATTACTTAAATCACATTGCATACCCTTTCACTGTCTTACTTTTGACTCCTGTTAATTATCTGCATAAGTTTTTTTTTTTTTTAAGTAATGACATACACGTATTATCACACTCAAATAAATGACATGACAAGAAAACACTAGTATATATATTAAAATGACGAGGGGTCTTCATTTTTCTGTTTTTTTTCTCTAATCATTGACAAGAACACAGTGTATAAGGCTATGACAGCATTGACAGGACCTAATTCAGTTTATACATCCTAAGAAAAATAAATAAGAAAAAGATGAGAAGAAAAAGGCAATTGTATTTAGTATATGAAATTGAATAAAGTAGGCTTCAAGCCAAAATATGTTTACAATGAATACCAAACAGTAAGGATGCTATCTTCCTTAAAACAAAAACAAAGTATATATGACAAAAGAAAAGGATGTATGTCCCAGTCAAAATATCTATGAAACATTATGTAATCATTAATTTAAAACTTAAAATATTCGACCTTGGTTTGGGAAAGAAAAAAACAAAGAATAACTAGAGAGAGAAATTAATGTAGCCAATTGAAAACATTGATCTAGTTGCAGAAATTGAAGTTCATGCAAGTTGCATCACAGTTCACTAGTGTTCAAACATGGTCAGTGAAAGTGAGAACAACCTCTGTTAAAGGTAAAATAAAATATAGAAAATAATTATTACAAGAGAGGATTGAGCAGACAGAATCCAATTGATATACTTTATCTTCTAACTGGACTCAGCTTTTCTAGAACTTAGTGTCAACCAATGGCAACGATCAAACATAATCCCTCCAAGATTTTCATAATCAGGGAGCTTAGATTATAATGATTCGTGTCAGGTGTTAAGGCATATTACTCCATGTCATAGGGGTATTGTTACAGGGAGAGTTAACAATGAAACATAAATGCAAGCAATTGATTAGTGAGAGATAGTCAGGTAGCCAATATAATAGAAAACAAACCACTTATTTGGCATCCTTGTAAATTTGGAAAATTGAGAATAAGGTGCATTTAACAATAACATTTTCTAAATTTTTGACCCCTAATAAAGAAGAACCAACCAAATGGGTGACTTAGTTGAGGCCACAAATCACATGACAGAGCCAATAAAATGAGTTTGTCGGCTACTTTCCAGGACCAGGATTGGGAAGCTAGTGATACCACTGTGAGCGAGGCACAAACATTTTGATTATGGTCTAGCATGTAGCAGAGGATAAACATTAATCCAAAAGTTGGAAAGCATATATGACAAGATGAATCAAAAGAAAGAGACAATGTGATTAGCAAAGTAAGTATTCAGTGAGAACGGCTGGGATAGGTAGGATAGGTAGTTTTGTGATTCCAAAGTAAAGATTTATTGCAAAGCACAAACTTTACTGGTAATAATTATAATTTTTGGCTCCTCATACCCAATTAAATGCACTATCATGTACTAAAGTCACTAAGAACCATGAAGGAAGTTCGTGTCAAATCCTAGAGCTTTAACTGGCTTAGCTTGAAAACCTTTCAGCCCATCGTTTCTTGTCACCCCATGGGTTAGCTTGTGGGACCTTAAAACGCGAATGCCCTCTTGACCTCAAGTACGCTACAAAAGTATCTCTCTTTTAGATGATGATTGCAGTCATATGGACTGTGGTGTAGGGGCATGCTTTCCTCACTCTCTATTCCATCTTTCTTGTTCCCTTTTTGCCTTTTGAGTTTGTTTTTAGGGGAAAGACTAGTGGGACAAATAAAGAGATAAATATTGGGATAATGAGGAGAGAGAGTGCTTAAGACCATGTAAAGTGGGGGACATATTCATATAGACGTTGAAAATAAATTATGTTCATAGGATAGTAGGCTGCATAAGGCCTAAGGGGTGTGTGTTCCTTGCTTTAAATGGGATTTGAGATTACATTACCTATATTTTCCAATCTAAACAGTTATGAGAGAGAGAGAGAGAAAGAGAGGTACTTGTACTTGTGGACCATCAAATTTTGAAAGAGATGCTGGTTCCAGATAGTGCTGTGTATGATGTGCAGATATAACACCAATGCTTTCCAGAATTGAAATTTGTGTGTGGAAAATTAGGGGGTCTTGGGGAAGCTGGTCCCATAAGCAAATGCATCTAAAAAGAGAGAAAGAAAGAAAGAAAGAGTGGTGTGTCTTGTCTCCCTACAATTGAATTTGACCCCATGAAGAGTGGAAAGGGAGTAACAAAATTATCATGCCTTGTTTAGACCTAGTTAGGCCCCCCTCCATCTCTCTTCATTGAAGGGAAGATGTGGCTGAAAAAAAGAACAGTGGAGTTTGCCCCAACAAATCCCTATTGGATTAAGTCACATTTGGGATTACTTCCGTAGCCTGTGATTCACGAGCTGCACCAGTGCCCCATGCCACGTTTTGCCTAGTTTTATTTCACTATGCATAAGAGGAGAAAATAGCCCTGTCCAGCATTAGGGTGTGAAGGACATGCAAATACGTGTAAGCATTTCCAGTTCACAAAAGGCTTGTCAAAATCTGCCATGGAGGGCATATCGCATATGTTTGTTGCAAGCTGGAAAGGATAATTCACTGCGTTTGTGTGACAACGATAGTTGAAACTTTTCAAAGTGATCAAATTTTGGTCTGAGACCCTGAATATTCGAGATAGAATCATGCAATTTGCAGGCTGATATTTGTTGCGACAAAACTACAACTCATGATGGCATCCTTTGACCATATAGCAATCTTTTGGAAAGTTAATAGGTTTTGAGAATCTCTCTAGTCATAAAGCCTATTTTCATTTCGGTGCTTTTTAATCCATAGTGGTGGAAGCAGATTGACTCTTCAGCCAATTTAGATGCTAATGGCCAACATAAATCTCTGTGCAGCTATACACATTGTAAGATCATTGCCTGAATTATCCAAAACAGTTCTTCACTGAGACATTTAAGGGGCGATAACGAGGAAGCATTTATATTCCCATCATTTTTTAGTAACTTTCTACACAGTTCAGAAATGATCTGTCACGTCTTTCATTATAGTTACCGAGATTTCTCACTTCTAGTAAATACTTTAAACTGTTTTAAACAATTTACACTATGATTCACTGTAGTTGTAATATCAGTGAATCAAACTTTAAATCCACAGTATAACAGTAAAAGGCACACATTTAAGTATACATTGACTTATGGGATGTTTCATTATTCACACAGTATCTAACAAACAAGAAACAGTTGCCTAGACTTGGAGAAAGCTAGTTTTCCCCTCCCCTAGCAAATCATTTACTACTAGTAACCAAATGCGTGCCCATTGACTTTTGAGAAAATTAAAGACTATTTTGAAATTGGAATGATAATGGGTATCACTACTCAAATACCAAAATACTTCCATCCCATGAGCATGAAGCAAGAACATTAGGTATTATGGGGTGGAAGGCAACGTCTATGCATGCTTGATCATGGGCCTTGATTTTCTTCACAACTTTGGATGATTGATAATCATAAAGGTAGATAGAACCATCGGAAGAACCAGAAGCGAGTTTTTTCCCATCCAAGCTGAAATTGCACTTGATTGGGAACCCGGAGATCACATGGCCCTCATATCGCTTATATTTGTTGAGTCTGTAAGGTGGGTCGGTAGTAAAGATTGCAACATAATTTCCATTTGATTGGGCAACAAAAATCGAATCAAATGGGTGGAGCCTTACGCAAGGACATGTATAAGCTTCTGCGTAAACCTGATTCAGGAGTATAATAAGCTAATTAAAATCTATATTCCTGAAGTCATAACTAAGTTTGCATGTACATCCGGTCAAAATGTTTAGAGATGAATTGCATGCATACTCCAAAATGCATATAAAGAACAAAAAGTGTTAAGCATCACAGAAATTTAAGCATATAGTCATGTGGCCTGAGTTTTATCACAGCTTCAAGATCATGGAAAGTCTTTGGAAGACAACATCAAAAAGTGATATTTTAAACTACTTGTGAAGTGTTATAAATGGAAATCATGCTTCTTTGCTGCATCAATACTATTCCCTAATATTTAACAACCATCAACTAATCTAAATATTTAACAAAAAGTCAGGATACCTTGAGAGACAAGTTTAAATGAATAAAATGTAGATGATGTAATTTAATCTAACACGCAATGACAACGTAAATTTTTTTTTTTCTACAATATAAACATGAGCATTTCACATGCAAGAATGACAGTAATTAATTATTTCCAAAAATGCAAACAACATGATGAAAAAAAGATCCATCAGCTAGAGAATATTAGAAGACTAACAAAACTTACAGGTTTCGCAAGTGATTTGAATGTAGAAATATGTGTTCCTTATCAGTTTTCAAGCCCTCCATTTAATCTCAACATGTTTCTAAGAATTAATTTATGAGTATGGGTATGCATTAATGTATTGGAATAAATCATATGCTAATAAATATGATTATAAACAGATATCCCTATAATTACAAAAATCCTAATTCAGTCAAATTAGGAAACAAGTCATATTTATAAAAGAAAAAATAAATCTTAAGAGATCATCTAAGATACTCTAAAATATTCTAAGATAATATCATTAGATTGTCATATTTCTAACACTCCCCCAAAGTATAATTTGAATCCATACTTAGAACTTCCTTTTCATCACCAAGCTCCCTGCACAATAGATAGAACCATTGTTTTTATGAACTAAACAAGGCTAGCTAGCCAGACTGGTTCAACTGTCAAAGACTTGTGCAGTTACCTGTTCGTCCTTCATGTTCACTGTCTATGTTATACTCTCATTAAGTTTGTACGACTCACTCTACCATTATTTCCTTCGCATTCACAGGTTGCACAAGACTGCCATCTGAACCCTATTATTTATACTTTTAGGAGTAAGCTTCCATTGTCGGTGAAGGAAGTGCATGCTTATAAAAAGCACTAGAGCGCTAGGGAGTGTCAAAGGCTGTTAGGAATAAATGGTTAGGCCTTTTAGGAAAATTTAGATAGAGTATAATATGAATCTGCTGATTATGTTGTTGAGAGGTAGGCTGTTTTTATACCTTGTTTTTGCTCCTTTTTTTTCTTTTTACCTAATATGTAGCATGTTGGTTACCTATCCTTAATCAATTCTGACAATAAATCATACTATTCATGGGAAAATAGTTGATATGGAATATGTGTTTTCTCTCTAAACCTGCAATCATCATATATTTTATTTCCATTTTTTACATGATAATGCTCAGCAACAACAACAGCCCTATCCCAAATTCTCAATGTTGGAAAACACCCAAGTCTCACATTAATTAGAGATAGTGCCAAAATAGAGTATATAAGTGGGGTTAATCCACACCTTCCAAGCCAGTTTTGTAGGATTAAACAAGACTGAACCCACTTTGTAAGACTCACTATGATAATCCTATAGGTTTAGAAAATATAGGAGTAGCTAAAGTATTAAAATTTCATATTTAATGTCAATATAAATATTATTAATATTAAAAAAAATGATAATGTGCATACATTACATGTTAATTACAGTTTGACCACAACGTGGCCATAGTTGAACCACTAAACTATAAATGACTCGATCATGGGCTGGTTTAGAAACTAGAACTTACAGGTTATTTAACTGTTACTAGACTATCTGCATTATTCTATTCCCTCAAGAATGAGTTAATGATTCAAGAGAGTAATAATCAGCATAAGTAACGCTGCTCAAACTACCAATACACAAACTTCACAGCAATTTGGTAGAAAATGATGAACACTAAAAACAGAATATTAAAGATAGTATATATAATTATCTCACCTGATTAGACAATGGTACTTCTCTTGACACATCCCAAACAATAATAGCATTCTCACTGACATTACTCTGAGATACATCACTAGAAGAAATGAATTGCTTCCCATTCAATGTGAACTCAACATCGAGAATTGGACCTAAATTTCGATTATAATTATGCACTACTTTGCCAGTTCTGACATCCCATAGTTTGATATGGCCCTTTGACCCTCCAGAAAGGAAGATATTAGAATTGTCAGGATGGAACTTTATAACTCCAACAATTTGATCTTCTCTGAAAACCTGAGTCTCCAATCCCTTTTCAACATCGATCAACCTTGACATGCAATCGTATCCACAAGAAAGTAGAAAGTGCCCTTGCTGAGACCATTTCACATCTTTGACTGCTGCATTGTGGAAGTTTAGCACACATGCCTTCTTCTGATTTCTGCTCCATACATTCCATACGCAAACCGTGTGATCCATCGCAGCAGATGCAAGGAGGTGAGCTGTAAGCTAACTCTGATGAACAATAAATACCAATATACACAAAAAGCATATCTCTCTTACTCTCTCATACACATATATTCACAACAGTTTTCAATACTTTGATTTTAAATTTATTCTAGCCGTGAACAAGTGCTTTATACATTAAACTAAATTAAATTAAAATATAAGACAATTGCAATACCTTTATCAATAAGAAAAAATTTAGGAAAATTATCCTTATCAACAAAGTGTATCACACACATACCAGGGCAACAGTTTGTCAACACAAAGAACTAACCATGAGTTGAAGACCAATTTATAGCATTGACAGCATTAGTATGCCCGCATAAGGTTGCAGATTGCCTTTCAGATATCAGGTTCTGGCTTTGATGACCCTTTGCTTTACTTTTCAACAATGATAACATATTATGGTGGATATCAGCAACTGAGATGCTACCTAAGTTTAACAACAAGAAAAAGGTCAGAATATTTGTCTCTATCAAAGACTAACATGCAGCACATCTATGCCTGATGAAAGTACCAACAGGAAAAGGTATGTATGAGTCACATTTAACACACAATCACTATCTATCAACATAGGAAGGATAAGAACATAGAAATGAAGTCAAAAAATAAAGATGATTGTAAAATTAATATAAAATAACACAAGAAATTAGACAAAGATGAGCAGAATTTGAACAGGGAAGTCTAAAGGAAGAAGAAAGAGCGCACCTCAGGAAAACAAATAGTCCCGTAAAGAATGAAGGAACAGAGGTCAAAACAGAGAGAAAGAAGGGTTTTCAAAATCATATTTTGTTTATGAAGCAAACAATGCATCAGAAAATGGGGAGAAATCATAATTTTACCCAACACAACCATCCAAAGTATTGCTTCAGCACTAAAAATGATTTTGAGGTCTATATCATAATAGCACCACTGTAGCACAATAAAGATGACATTTTAGCCTGCAATAACTGCTCTTTGAATTCAAATGTGATGCTTGACAAGAGTATGCCATTTAACTCCCTGCTTGCCTAGGGAAATACCGAGATTTTTCATGATAAAACTAAGACAGCAAGAGAATAATTATAGACTACGAACTGAATCTCAAACCTCAAGGACAGCCTAGAACGCTCAGCTACACCACGATAATTGTTATGGTGTTTCTTCCTTAATTGATGGCTAAGGGAACCCCTGAGAATATAGTGAAAGAAGAACGAATATTTTTTATCTCAAGCTGCTGATTCATTCATCTGAAATAGGCTATATAGCCAAATACAGGAGTGCAAATCAAGTCTGTTACAATCCGATGGTGCTACTTGATTGAAAGGGAATAAAATCTAATAGAATAACAACTTATCAAATATAGCATAATATCTAGTAACAGAATAATGTGACTCAGCAGTTTGTTGCAACGGTGAGATCTCTAGGTAGTGTAATCCTTGAGATGGGCTGGAGTGGAGGTATTCCTTTTGGGCCTTGAATAAGCCAAGGGCAGTGTGGCTTGATTGCTAACAACATCCGGCTCTGGAAAAAACACCTTGTCCTCAAGGTGATAATCTAATCTGAGTTGTTCCCATTCTTCCCAACTGGTGTCATCGGGTGAGAGCCCATACCACTGAACCAGAACTAGTTTGGTTGGAGGACTTGTGGAGGTATCCATGCGAGTTGCCAAAATTGCCAAGGGTCGAATAATGGGTTGGTTGTTGAATGCCTCAGTAGGTAAAGGAGTGATGCCGGGATCTGTGCCATGGTGTCTTTTCAACAACGAGCAGTGGAAAACAGGGTGTATTTTGGACTCAACTGGTAAATCCAATTGGTAGGCAACAGAACCAATGCGGGCTCGGATTTTGTAGGGGCCATAAAACCTCTTGGAAAGCTTGTTATAAGTGGAACGAGAGAGAGACCGTTGTCGGTATGGGCGGAGACGGACATATACTAAATCGCCTATTTCATAAGTTACATCACGTCGTTTGGCATCAGCATAAAGCTTCATAGTGGCCTGCGCGTTGAGTAGTTTCTTCTGTAACTGTGTTAACATCGAATGTCGTGATGCCAACAAAGTATCAACAGCTTCCACTGTAGAAGAACCAAGTAAATAATTTGGCAAAGATGGGGCAGGCTTGCCATAGATAATATGGAAAGGTGAGTACCCAGTGGAGGAATGAACGGAAGTATTATAAGACCATTCAGCCAGGGCCAAATACTTAGACCACTGCGAAGGGTTGGAATGAACGAAAGAGCGGAGGTATTGCTCTAAAACTCTGTTAAACACCTCAGTTTGCCCGTCCGTTTCTGGGTGATATGATGTACTCATTCGAAGTTTAGTACCACAAAGACGAAATAATTCACGCCAGAACTTACTGATGAATATAGGGTCACGGTCAGATACAAGACTACGAGGGATGCCATGGTATTTACAAATAATGTCCAAAAATAACTGAGACACCTTAGAAGCAGAATATTGTGTTGGCAATGGACCCAAATGAACACCTTTAGAGAATCTGTCTACAATAACCAAAATAACAGTGAATCCCTGAGAAGGGGGTAATCCAGTAATAAAATCAAGGGATAGATCTTCCCAAACAGCGGTGGGCACAGGTAGGGGTTGTAAAAGACCGGCTGGTTTGAGGGTATCTGATTTCACTTGTTGGCAAGTGGTGCACTGCTGGATAAAAAGTTTAACATCTTTACGTAGACCTTCCCAATAAAAATTGGCCAATAATCTGGCCACTGTTTTTGTGATACCCATATGACCACCGAGTGGGGTACTGTGATATTCATCCACAAGCTTAAGGCGGAAACTATTACCAGGATCAAGCCACAAACGATTCTTGAATAGAATTAAACCATTATGTAACTTATAATCTGGAAGAGTAGCAGGTTCATTTTGAATACGGAGAAGTAAAGCATTATAGGAACTGCTAGCAGCCACAGATTGCCTCAATTGATCCATAAAAATAAAGTTAGGCATGGAAAGGGTGAAATGCATACCAGTTGGAGTGTCCGGACGTCTAGAAAGTGCATCAGCAACAACATTGTGAGGGCCTGGTTTGTAGTGAACCTTGTATTCATACCCCAATAATTTGGAAAGATAATGTTGTTGTTCCGGAGTTTGAATCACTTGGGATAGGATCTCTTTCAGGCTTTTATGATCAGTATTGATGACAAAGGGGTGCCCCAGAAGGTATTGGCGCCACTTCTTTACTGCAAAAGTGATGGCATGTAGTTCGCGCACATATGTTGATGAATTGAGAAGCTTTGGGCAGAATGGCTTGCTGAAAAATGCAATTGGGTGATTGTTTTGCATGAGAACTGCGCCCATAGCTATACCAGAAGCGTCTGTATCAATGGTGAAAGGAACTGAGAAATCCGGTAAAGCAAGCACTGGAGCTTGAGTCATGGCTTGCTTGAGGGCATCAAATGCATTTTGAGCTTCTGGTGTCCAAAGAAAAGCATCCTTGCGAAGTAAGGCAGTAAGCGGAGAGGCAATGGTGGCATACCCTTTGACAAATTTCCGATAAAAACCTGTAAGGCCTAAGAAGCCACGTAGGGTTTTGACGTTGCAAGGGGGGGGGCCAATCCAGCATTGCCTGAATCTTTGATGGATCAGGTTGAACTCCAGCTGCAGAGATGATGTGTCCCAAATACTCCAATTGCCTTTCTGCCAGCAAACATTTGGAAGGTTTGAGATAAAATTGACCTTCCAATAAACGAGTGGAAGACCTGTTCCAAATGTGAGGTATGTTGTGGGAAGGAAGGGCTATACACGAGAATATCGTCAAAAATACCGCAACAAAACGACGGAGAAATGGTCGGAGAAGGTCATTCATAGTCGCTTGGAAAGTTGAAGGAGCATTACAGAGGCCGAAGGGCATCACTTTGTACTCGTAATGTCCCCGGTGTGTGCGAAAGCGGTCTTCGCAATATCGTCTGGATGCATCAAGATTTGGTGAAAGCCTTGTCGGAGGTCAAGTTTAGAAAACCAGGTTGCACCACCAAGCTCGTCCAAAAGCTCATCAATGGTGGGCATAGGAAAGCGATCACGGATAGTAATAGCATTAAGAGCCCCGTAATCAACACAACATCGCCAACTACCGTCCTTTTTACGCACCAATAATACAGGCGAAGAAAATGGACTCCGACTTGGTTGAATCAAGGACGTATCAAGCATCTCTTGGATTTGTTTTTCCAATTCAAATTTTTGTGAGTGTGGGTATCGATACGGTTTAACGTTGATCGGTGTGGAGTTGGGGAGAAGGTGAATACGATGATTAGTGGGGCGAGAGGGAGGTAATGATTGTGGTGGCTGGAATAATTTGTCAAAACGGTGGAGAAGTCGTGGTGATTTCCGGGGATGGTGATGTATTAGAGGGTGGATGAGCTCGGGGTAGACTTGGGTAGGGATATTAATTGTATGGTGAATAGTTCGGAGGCCCCATTAGTTTGGAGACAACGCTTAAGTTGTGGGCTGGATATTGGGTCGGTTGGTGGTGGATCCCTTGTAAAGTAATGAGTTGGTCTTGTTGGGTAAATGAAATGGTGAGTTGGTTATAATCCATGAGAGCAGCCCAATGGATTTTAGCCAGGGAGCGCCCAAGACGATATCTCGCACCTCGCAAGGGAAGGATGTAAAAATTGACATTAAGGGTGTGGTCTTGGATCCGAATTTTCACATCGAGACAAAGTCGATCACATCGCATAAGAGTCCCACTACCAACCATGACGGTGAGTGGATGGTAAGGGATTGAAGGAAGCTCTAAGAACTTTGCTACACGATCTTGAATGAAGTTGTGATCACCGCCGCCGTCAACGAGAATGGAAACGGAGTGGTTGGCAATCCGACCCCGTAGTCGAATAGTTGAAGAACCGAGACCACCTAGGTGAAGGCATGAGGCCGACTTGGGAAGGAGTGTCATCGGGATTTGTTGGTGGTGGGGAAAGGACCAATTGAGGATCCGGAGTGAAGTCGTCGGAGATGGCATCTTCGATGGTTAGGACGAAAAATTTTGCCTTACAACGATGGGACGGGGTGAACACTTCATCACAGCTTATAACATAGGCCCTTTTCGCGGCGAGAAGCCATTTCCTCCGGATTGAGACGTCGAAAATTGACACGGGGTTGTGGCGTAGGGAGGAGCGGGGTAGAAGGTGGGGCAGAGGTAGGGGTTGCGGATGAAATGAGAGTGGGAGCATGGTTCCCGTGTCTGGAAAGAGCGACGACGTTCTTCTATTTTATCCTCTTGCAATTTTGCAAGCCGAGTCGCATGATCAAGAGATGCGGGACGTAGGGCTTGGACCTCGCGACGGATTTCGGTGATAAACCGTAAATGAAACAATTCAGGGCAAAAGTAGGTGGTAAACCCACGATGCGATTGGCGAGTTGTTCAAACTCGTGAGGTATTGCTGAACCGTACTCTTCCGTGTAAGTTTGAATAATGCACCGGAAGGTTCATCGTATAGTGACTGAGCAAAGCGAGTTTCCAAGGCATGGAGGAACCCTAACCAGGTTTGGAGTCGACCATTTCGGTACATCCACCGATACCAACTAAGAGCTGGACCCTCCATATAAAAGGATGCGACTTGGAGGCGTTCCTCTTCCGGTGTGTTGTGGTAATCAAAAAATTGAGAAATTTTGAAGATCCAGCCAAGAGCTTCGGTTCCATCAAACCGTGGAACCTCGAGTTTCATATGTGGACGACGGAACCCATCATGAGTGGGTGTGGAAGTAGAAGTATGTGGTGGGGGAGTGGTGGGTCTGACGGTCAAAAGGGCAAGTTGTTCCAAAATGGAATCAACCTTAAAGGTTAAATCATCCAAACGCTCGGCATTGGTGGGACGGTTGGCCATGGGAGGAGAGTTAAAATGAAAGCACCAATTGTTATGGTGTTTCTTCCTTAATTGATGGCTAAGGGAACCCCTGAGAATATAGTGAAAGAAGAACGAATATTTTTTATCTCAAGCTGCTGATTCATTCATCTGAAATAGGCTATATAGCCAAATACAGGAGTGCAAATCAAGTCTGTTACAATCCGATGGTGCTACTTGATTGAAAGGGAATAAAATCTAATAGAATAACAACTTATCAAATATAGCATAATATCTAGTAACAGAATAATGTGACTCAGCAGTTTGTTGCAACGGTGAGATCTCTAGGTAGTGTAATCCTTGAGATGGGCTGGAGTGGAGGTATTCCTTTTGGGCCTTGAATAAGCCAAGGGCAGTGTGGCTTGATTGCTAACAATAATATGCTATTGACTACAATGATTACAGTATATATATATATATATATATATATATATATATATATATATATATCACATTGTATCCCATAACAGAAGATAGCATTAAAATAAATACAGGGTACAATAAATGAAGTTCATATCCTGAAATGAAGCAATACAACAAATAAAGGTAGCATTGATCTCATTACTAAAGCTAATACATAAACCAAAAAAAGACTTTTATTTAATTTTGATGCACTGCCAGTATAGAAAAGTTTTACACTTCCAATAACATGATTTAATAAGTCTAATGTGACTAGTGTTATCAATTCAGAAAATGCCAAAATACCCAACAATTCCACTATGTCATACAGTGGATAGAAGTCTCATAGCGAAATATCTGATAAATAAAAATATATCAATTAGATATGCATACATATGCAGGTTGTATCTAAATAAAAATTGACATAATATTAACTCAAAAGTTAAATTGGGTGGGAGACTTTCTGGAGATAACAAAAGGATGTAGGACACATAAAAGAATGTAGGACACGTGCCACAACAACTTATACCCATAGCAGCTGCCATAGAGGGCAGGTTCGCAATCACAGATCTGAGAAATCCTGCAAAGAGCACCTATATAGCAGCTATTTAACAGCACTGAATGTGTCCTGGGGGATAAGGTGGTAGTTGTTTTGTGGTTATCTTGCTAATTCTCACTTGTCAGCACAGTCAAAAATGCAATTGATAATAGTGTAAAATTGTCTTCAAATTGTTCAGCACATCAAAATTAAACTCCTTTTAAATTAGGTTAAAAAAAAGAACTCAATCTATAACAGTGTGATTAATAGCACCACTGCCACGCCTCCACAGCGTATGGCAGGATGGTCTTGCTTCCTGGAACAGGAGTTGCATCACGCTTCAGGCCATTCATAATCTTTGCTGCTGCTATTTCAATTATGGGGCAGAAGACCGTGTTATCCCTAACAAAGAGCTGTTTGGCAAAATCAGAAAGAAGTTTAAGTTGACTTGTTTTCAGTTTCCTTTACGTAGGCTGTTCGTTCATGCGCCCTGCAAATGCAAGCCCTTGCCGCTGCTCTGCAGAGCTTTCTTCCAAACTCCACCAAAATCTAGCACCAATCACTGTCACACACACCAAACAGCAGCTCTTTTCATCCTATTTCTGACATCGACAATCTGTCATCCAATTCCAGCCAGTTTGCAGATTTCAACTAATTTTCTACTTCTTTCTTCTCTGTTCTGTATACAATCTCTCTAAAAACGTTCAAACAACAATGAGTTTTCTTCAATTCCAGCTATTTTTTTATTTTATTTTCAGCAGCATAGTTAAGGGTTTAAGGTTCGAAATATCGATATTCCACTATCCCGCTATAGCATTTTTACCGCGCAGATATTAGGGATTGACTACTTTGGTTATAATTAAAAAATTGAACAAAATCCCATGAAAATTGAATGTGAGTGAAGTGCCACTCAAATAGTTTTACTAATTAAAAAAATGCACACAAACAAAAACAGTTTAATTTGAACCACACAAAAAGGTTGAAAAAAGTGATGAGTACCAGATAGCGTGAACGGAGACGGAACAGGAACGGGGTCAGGAAGAGGGGCAGGGGTGGAACCCATCAAAGCGCGTTGTCGTTTTGAAATGTAACTTCCTGGAATGGGAGGTTGCGATTGGAGGTCGAATAAAGAAGGAGAAGGCGAAGGAAGGTGTCGTTTTGGTGGATCAGTGGAAGAGAGTGATAGTCTCTGTCGTTTGGGTTGTTCTTCTTCGTCGTCTGAGGCATTCGAATAAGCGTTCCACAGAAGATCCATTCCTATTCCTTTCACATTCCTGTTTACAGAGTTTAAATATAAGGTTTTTGTAATTAAAAATTGGTAGCTACACTCAATTTTTTTTTTAGAGAATAACGCAGTATCTCTCACCGGAAATTTATGAACTCTGCCGCTGCAAGTGCGGTGGACGGGCAACGCCGGCGGGATTCACGGTGGCCGTCAATAGTGACAAATCACAGAATGGAGGTTACTAGGGCTTTCTTTCCCCGTTGATTTCGTTTCCGCACCAAAAACGTTGTTTAAAATCGTGATTAAAAAAAAAGTCAAATATTTATCAAGTTTAAATGAGAAAATAGACCATTACAAAGGCTACGAAAAATAGGATAACTGAGGGAAAAAATTTATTACTTAAACCGAATCATGCTAATTTATAAAATAATAATTATATTAAATTAAAATAAAATAAAAATAATATTATTTTATTAAAATATATATATATATATATATATAATTTAGAAAGAATAAATAAATTCATTTGTTTTTATCTTTTACTGTTGTTGTTGACGTCCGTTCACGCTCTTTTTGACGTGTAATTTTAATCTTTCTTTTAAAACCTTTGTATATGTCTTTGCGTATATTTTTTACAAATATTTTTATTTTTATTATTTTGTCTTTTCATTAAATCTTAATTTTCAGTTTTAATTTTTTTTTACCCATTCTATAATATTAGTAAATATTGATTTATTTCAATGTAATCATTAAAATAGATCATTTTTTTTTATGAAATGGATTGTAAATTTTTAGTCTGACAAATGAATATGATTGAATCTAACAAATAAATACATTATGTCAGAATGTAGAGATTCTATGTTTAAGATTTGTGTTGTTTTGTAATTTGTTACTGGTTATATTATTTAGGAAGAATACCCCTCTTTTTCTAATAAAAAAAGTTAAAAAACAATGAAATTTCTAAAAAGAGAAAAAAAGGATGTCAATTTTTTGTAAAGGATACGAACCAAACAATCTTATTCCTTGTCCTTAAAAAAGTTACAAAATGGATAAATAGAAATATAAGTTGCAAAAACACATAGTAAATATTCTTTTCAATTATATATTATAGAATCGTTTATAAAAAATTATCAATTTAAAAATATCATAAAATATGAAATTTCATAATTTTTTTTCATATAGAGGCCCTTGTTGTTTAAATTATAAAAAATTATTTCTACACATATATATTAACCGTCATAGTTCTGGTATAAAAAAATAAAGATCTTTACTCATTTATATATGTTAGGGACTAATTATTTAAGATGACACATTAATGTATTTTTAAAACATGAATAGTTATCTTGGATAATAAGACTAATTTGTTATTGAAGCAATGGAAATTTGACCCATACCAAGATGCATCTATATTAAGCATGATCTTTCATTTAATTATGATATTTATAAATGTATTCAACATAAAAGAAAAAGTTAAAGATGTGGTAGCTAAAAAATGTGTTATCTTAAAATAGGTTTGACTTCTATGAACCACCATAACTTCTCAAGGCATGCTACATGATTGTAATGAAATGACTCATCTCGTTGATTAAAATTAAAAATTAAACATTAAGTTATTTCTATTTTGTGACATTTTTAGCATTTCAGTTACAACATTTTGTGATATTTTAAGCATTTCAATTACAACACTAGAATATTCATTTAACATTGGTGGTCATATCTTAATCAAGTATAGAAATTGTTTAGCGGTAGAAAATTGCAAGCTCTCACTTGTATTAATAATTGATTGCATGATTATGATAAAGTTAGATATACTTAACTTAGTATTCAATATTTTATAATCTTTATAATATAAATATTTTGATTATTTTATTTTATTTATTTACTTTTTGTTGTCAATTATATATACAAAAGTAGTGGATATTTTATTATTTTATACGATATATTTCTATATGATAAATTTGTTATACCATGATATTTTATGATTTTATTTTGTCTAAATAGGTTATAACTTAATTTTGAATAAATAGATGAATGACATATCATTTTTTTCAAACAAAAATAAAAAAAATAAAAAAAATATCTTTATTTTTAATTAGGCAATAAATGGTATGTTAGCCCTTAGTCCTAACATAGGATTAGGGATGACAATTAAATTCGTACATGTAGAGACCGATCCATCCTCACTCGAGTTTGACGGAGAAAAACCGGTTGATCGAGGACAGAGCGGGTTCGAGTTTTTCCTGTTTTAAAAAGTCGAGGCGGGGATGGGTATGCAATCCCCACCTCGTCTTCGTTCCCGCCCTGACTTTATATTTAAATTTAAATTTAAATTTTAAAATATTAATATTTTAAAAGTATTTTCTTTTCTTTTTATATTACATATAAAATCATTTTTTTATGTTTTACCATTTTTACTTTTTTTCTACCCACTTTTTAATTCTTTTGTCTTTTTTAATCTTTTATATCAATTAGTTTATTACATTATTTTCTTTCTCTTACCTTTCAGTTTTTCATATTTCCTTAATCTCTCCAATCAATTTATTTATTTTTTTCAATTTTTTCAACTAATTTGATGAATACAAAGTTTTTTTTTTCTTCTTGTTGATGAAAAGGGAAGATATTTGAAAAATCTCTTTTTGATAATGTCAAATGATAGATAGATAGTTAGTATAGATAGTTTGTATAAAGCCAAAACAATCTAAACTTTGAAAGTAAAATTAATCAAATATGTTAAAACTGAAACGTTAATAATCGATTAGATAAAGGGTTAATCGATTATATGACTTAAAATTAAGTTTTCATAAGATGCACTAATAATCAATTATGTGGTCACTTAATCGATTATTTGTCAAAAATTTTGTTTTAACACAACGCACTAATAATCGATTATATTGGTACCTAATCAATTATTTGACTATTTTCAAAGTATCACTACACTCAAATAATCGATTAGATAAATCTGTTAATCTGTGACGAGTTACAACATTTTCTTTTTATAAAAGGATGCAAATTTTCTTCTATTGATAAAAACTTTCAAATACAAATTAAAGCAATTAGAAAGAATGTTTTTGTCATCAAAAAAAGAGCGTAATTCTGCAAAGAAAAGAGCTAATTCAAATAAAGGTTGTTTGGTTATAGGGTGCATTATTATGTAAATCTAAGGTGAATTCGTTTCATATCTTTTTTTATATTTTCTTTTTGTTTTGATATATATGAGGATAGCTACATCAATTTAACTTGAAAATTATGAGGTAGAACATTTTCAAGTATTGTGATCTTGATTAGATGTTGTTGTAAATTAAGATCATTTAATTGGGTTGTAATATGCTTTAAAGTGAAAAACTCTAAACTAAGGTTGCTTCGTTAAAACTGGTTGTAGATTCAAGAAGAATCGAACTAGTATAAATTTGTGAGTCTTTTCTTCTTCTCCCTATCTTGTTTTCTAAAAGCTGTGATAATTCTTTTGTAATTGATTATCGGAGAAAGTTCTCTAATAATTTATTTGAAATTCAAAAGATTTTTGAAAACCCAATTCACCTCCCTCTTGGAAAAGTTCTGTCATTAACATTTTAATAAAAATTGGTATCGAGTTGGGTTATCAAAAGATAATAGATTTTGATCCAAAAAGAATGGCTAACATTTCTCAAACTTTTACTGAAGGGACATTTATAAACATACCTCCTTTATTTTCTAATGAAAATTATCTATTTTGAAAAATAAGAATGAAATTTTTTCTTGAATATTTGATAAGGGTGTTTGGAATGTTGTTATTAATGGTCCTTTTCAACCAACCAAGATTAAAGATAGTATGACAATTGTCAAAGATTTTAATGAATGAACTCCTGATGAGAATAAAAGAGCTCACTATGATGTTAGAGCTAGGAATATTATTTCTTTTGCACTAATACTTGATGAATTCTATAGAATCTCTGTGTGTGAAACAACCAAAGAAATGTAGAATGTTCTTGAAGTCACTCATAAAGGAACTGAAGAGGTAAAGAGAGCAAGAAAGAATACTCTTATTCAAGAATATGAAATGTTCAGAATGAAGACTAGATAAAACATCTATGATGTTCAGAAAAGATTTACTCATATTGTAAATCATTTGATGGTTCTTGGGAAGACCTTTGACAAAGAAGAACTAAATATCAAGATTCGAAAGAGTTTAGGAAAAAGTTGCCAACCTAAGGCAACTGTTATTTCATAATCAAGAGATCTCACAACAATAAATATGGCTACATTGTTTGGAAAATTAAGGAACATGAGTTGGAACTGGGAAAAGTCAAAGAAGAAGAAGAAATTGAAAGAAGAAATATTGTTGCATTGAAAACTATTACAAAAAAGAGTGATCTCATGCAAGGAAATGAAGAAGAGGATTCTGACAGCGAAAACTTGAATCTACTGGTAAAGAGGTTTTCTAAATTTTTGAAATAAAAAAATAAATCTGCTGCCAAACTTTCAAGAAACAGGAACAAGGAAATGTCCCAACATGCTATGAATGTGAAAAACTTGGACACATCAAACCAGATTATACAATCTTCAAGATGAAAAGAAACTGGAAGAAAGAAAGGAAACCAAGAATTCAAAAAAGAAGAAGACATACATTACTTGGGAAGACAATGACTCAAGTACTTCTAGTGAGTCAAGTAGAAACTCAAATGAAGAAGCAAATATTTGGTTAATGGCAAATACAGAGACATCAAGCAAATTCAGTGTAAGTACTTATGCATCTACTGATAAAAATAGTTATTATCAATTGCTAGATGTTTTTAATGAAATGCATGATGAAGCCAAAAAATTAGCATATTCTAATAATAGATTTAAAGGTGAAAATAGATGGCTAGAAAATAGGTTAAAACAACTTGAGAATGAGAATGAAAATCTAAAAATAGAATTAGAAAACTTAGAAAAGAATAGGAAGAATTTTGTGAATAAATGTGATAATTGTAAGAATCATTTGAAAAGAATCAAGTATCTTACCAAAACACTTTCAAAATTTACACTAGGAAAATTTAACTTAGATGTTATAT